ACGCACACTTGTGCAACTCCAGAGCATGATAAACCTCCAACCCTCCTCCCGCTTCAAGCTCCGGAGATCCCGTGCAAGTTAGGTCGGATTCTCATTGCATCCGATCGCTCTCTACCTCCTTTTCGGAAAGGAATTTCAGATAAGCTATAGCGCAGATGCCATCAGGGCACCAACTAATCACCGATAATATCAACTCATTCAATGTCGCGACGAACATCCACAATATTTTCAACTTCAGCACCGGAACAGACGGCGAGGGGTGTCAGATTTTGCAGTGGATATCGCCACTCGAACCACAGCTGCGGCATCCAGGCGTGCCAAGTGACCGACTCGATGGCGTGATAAACCGGGGCTAGAGAATACCTAGTTCAGGGAATGGAGTGATGGGGAAGGCGGTTGCGCCGAGCCAGTATTATCCTGCTACGAGAATCCGGGGGCGGGGGAAACGTATATTAGATAGGCGGGCCGCTCATCCCGACAAATACAGCGCAGATGCCGCTGACTATCAAGGAGTAATAGCTCCTTGGTTGTTCACAGGTTCTGGGATCACGAAGGGGGGAAGAGCATCACTATCATCGGACTCTACTGCGATTTCCTTGTGCAGCAAGAGCAGTCGTCCACAAGCATGTTGGGTGCTATCCTCAAACAACTTGTGGTCAGGGGAGGGATCCAGGAGAACATGCGCTAGACTTTTTAGAATGCCAAAAAGGAGTTTGGTGCAGGGACCTCCGACTTCCCGATGTGGCTGAATTTCTGAAGGAGACCATTAGACTATCACACCCCGGAGAGTCGGAGCACAGTTAAATAGTGAAAGGCATGACCGCCCTACCTCGAGTCAGTATTCCGGGTATGATAAGAAAAAATCCCTTCCCCAATTCTACAATGAGGAATGGCAGAGAGAGATTTCGGAGGGGGAATGAGAAAAAACTGAAACAGGAAAAGAAATCCCAGGCTATGTTCTTGCTCGCTGGCTTGGTACAAGTACTCCGTCTTCTGTTCCCGGGTCCTTCCCGGCGGGTCAAAGAACCCCATAAAGTACAAGAATCCATCGGAAAAATTCCATGGAATTTATTGCAGGCCCAGGTGAATGGTACGACGAGACTGGCCGGTTGAGGTACGGTGGTTGACTGGGTGATACAGATGGAGTACTAGGGCCTAACGATAAGATATCGTTCATACGATATATGCTGCCTCATTTCTGACTGGTTAATCGAGCTGTGGGAGAGTGCGGGCCATATGAGCGTCCCAGGGTTTACCGCTACCGCTGGCCATCGGAGTAACCCGCAGTGGGACTGGGACTGGGCGCGGAACTTGAATTACAAGTACCGGTGTGATGCTAAGGGGAAAAAAGGTAGGCAAGCGCTCTCGCGTTGGCTACGTGAGCATTGGTTGGCACCAGCGGGAGAACTTGTTCTCCTTCCTTACCTTTAATTCCCAAGTACCGGATCATACGAGTACCGAGCTATCAAAACAAGGGTATCTGATTATTTCATTGTCCAACAGTCCCCTAGTTTCTCTACACAGCTGTTCGCAGGACGTGCAGTACTGGTAATACATATTTATTTTGTCACTTGTTGATTAACGTAAATACCTCACGCTCCACCATCTCATTTCTGCGCATAAAAGACACCTCTAAACGGGGGTCAGACGTCTATCACAACTCCTAGTTTACAAGCACTTCTATGGATTCAATCAAGACAAAACAGTGTTAAAACTTACTATCTAGACTAATCGCTATTAACCGGAACTTTAACTGTGATCTATTCAAGTTGCGCTCGTCTCGATACAAATCGGAGCCCTCCTTAAAGCTAGCACCAGAAATAACTTCTATTATGTACTAAACGCTTATCAAAAAGTACGATCCAACTACCTAATAACAGGTCTAATCTTGTGACTTATTCGCACCTTAGCGCTTGCTTCTTAGAAGGAAAGAGGCATCCTATCTAGCCGGGGAGAAGGGAGGGGATGGGGGTGGAGCGAGCGGGAAAGAGGAAAAAGAGTCAACATGTATCCATTGCTCGGTCAGTAAAAATGAAGAATGCTTCTCACGGGATCTACCCATGGGCTTGGAGCGGGGCCGACAGTCATGGACTAAAAAGAGAAAAAATTGCCAAATCCTTCCCGGTCTCGAGGGGACTATTTGTAATCAAGCATAGTAGAGCAAGCGAACAACCCTCCCAGTCATATCCCTGACATCTCCTCAGACTATGTCAAGATCTTCTCGGACTCTGTCAAGCTGAACATTAAAAAAAAATCCCAACCTCCTAAAACCTTAGTAACGGGTTCCACATAGCGTAACCTAAATATTTGAACCTCGAGCTAGGACGTTGGAGTTGCCTCTGCTGGTATGGTGCGGTGTTTTTTTTACTTTTCTTCCTGTCTTAAGCTGGGGCTTAGGGGATCAATTTTCGCTTTCCTCTCAGACCCCTATCCAAGAGGGGGAATTCCCGACGTCCTACGGTAGTGCGAGGTTCAGCCATTCAAGTTCTTATGGTATCCTAGTGATAGGCCACATGCTCACCTTGTCCAACCGATGGAATCCCCCCAATGAACCGCCTCCACTACTGGCCCTGCCGGTATCCGCATCCTCTGGGTCGCTTGTGCGTCTGACGGCCTTCTCCCTCGTAGTTTATCTTAATCACTAAATTATGTGAGTGACTTGACAACAACAGCTGATACTCTGTATAACTTACCGGAGCAGTCGTAAACATACAATTTCCAATCCTTTGCCCCCCCACGGTAGACCTGTAACGCGAACCAAACAAATATCTCAACGGCATTCCGATGCGTTGAAATGCGGCAGAGACCGCGACCGCCTGCCCAGGGACACCGCGCTGCGTCCAGCTATCATATCATACTTCCAGTCAGTTGGCACGGGAAGGTAATTCAAAAGGGTTAAGGGTTCGCTTACCTACATACGGCCGTCTAGCGGATGGAGACAGCACCGACCCTCAAGGTCGGCTCGACGGTTTTATCGTGTGATACCCACTCAGGGCGAGTGGAGGTGTTTGCCCTGCGGACTGTCTATAGTGTTTGATGACTGTTGCAACCACACCTCTAGAGCAACGTCTCGTTTTGACCGTCTAGAATCGAGGATTTGAGACTGTTCAAAATTAGATACACCTTTCAATCGTCTGGAGTAACGCGGTTCCCGCCTACTTTCATATAGGCTTTAGACGCAGATGGTTAGGTAAACGGGCCCTAAGTCCAAAGAGACGGAAAGCAATGCTTATACAGCCCGGGCGTAGTCCTGCCATACGATTACCTGGCTATCCATCCAATTTTCGCCGGCAGCCCCAGACTCCCGGGGGGAAGAAAAAAGGTAGAAAACACGGAAACCTGCTCACTTGTTGGACGGGTGACTCTGGAACCAACGAGAACAAGTTTGCCTCGCTTACCCGTAACTTCTGACACGCAGCCATTGCCGTATTGCTCACCTTGATTATTCTGCAATACCGGGTGATTTTTTTTGGATAATTTTGTAGGTAGTTCTAGGTTTCTTGCGGATTTCACCTGTTACGGTGTGATGCCTCGAGTGAAGAAAAAAAACTTGCATAGGCCCCGCGAGACCTTGAGGAATTTGGCACTTCTTTCTCGCTTCGGCTTGAGGCCCTTAACCCTACTCTAAGCCTATGGGTATCATAGATCTCACGGGAAGCATTCTCCACGATCACTTCATCTTCCTCTTTCCCGACCCCTTCCATTCTGCCAAGCTGGCTAAGCCGCTAAGGTGCCTCTATCTTTCTAGCGGGCAGGTTCTAGGTTGGAAATAAGTCATCAGATTAGATCTGCTATCAGAGGACCAGGCCGGAAACCGCCTGGTAAGAGTACTCCTACCGTAGCAGGGTAGAATAGATTAAGAATCTCTACGCACCACCCACGTACAGTACGGTATCCATTGCTACCTGCTTTTGCTCGGACGGCCACGAACCCCCGCAATATCTGTGCTGCACAATACGAGTACTCGAGTATACCACACTACTACGGGAGAGCGGAGGGCCACCGGTGGCGGTGGGGGTAATAGCAATGCTTGCTGCTGCTTGAGTTCCTACGAGTCACTCCCGTCGGGTGCAAGCACTGTACATCCGACACCCCAACGCATATATTCCGCATATCGTACCAGATCCGAGAACATATCTCTGATTTTATTATTCTTCATCGCCCCATACTACTGTAGGAAGGCAGAACTTAGCCCTGCGGCTCCCCATCCTTTCAAATGCCAGAACGGTAAAGACCTATGATCCCTTGGCCCGTCTAAACAGTAAAATCCTGGACCAGGCACGCTAACTCTATCTTAGCCTGTTTTAGAAGCATTCTGTTGTCGTGGTTCATTAACGGTTAAATGGCTTTTGTCGAGGAACTGAGTCGCTCGACAGTTGAAAGGAAAGGCCTGAATTCACAACCTCAAGTGGCTGGATGCCCAACAATCCAGACTTGGCAGGCCTGGGGGCTGATTTTTCGCAGTCTCGGGTTGTCCCGGAGGGATGGAAACTCCCGAATAACCTGCCTCATCAGCAAAGGCTAGATACCGGTATGCCGGTAAAGGTTGGGGGAGGTAAGGCGCATGGCGGAAGTTTCGATAGCGGCGGCACAATTGAGACTGTTGGGCGCGAGGGGATCTCTGTTCCCTCTTATCTCAGTATGCTCGTGCGCTGGACAAATATAATTGATGGATCGGATGCCGGGCATCAATTCAATACATCTACCGAAAAACTAACTCCCTCGGGGTCCTTTGCTGAGCAACCGAGAGCTTGTGCTTTTGGGAGAGCCCGTTGCAGCTCCATCATTCCACATTTCACATTGGAGCCGCATGTCTTATCATAACTCCGATTTCTTGGCAACCGCTTTCAGCGGGTGTGGCTGATAATCTCCACGTGCAGATCTGGACTGCTCCCCGGGGGTATCATACTGTGCTGTGACCGGATAAGTTACCTACGCACAAAGGACCTGCGTCTCTGGTCGCCCTTGGCCTTGAGGTGTCCAGATGTCCACGAAATCGCGAGCACCGCTTTGCTACATCACCGTCGGGAAAAATTTTACTACAATCCGGCGATTTGAGTTCCCTCAGGGGTATTTTTCTTATCGGCTGCGGCTGACCTAGCCTCGGGACAAATTCCCAGATATTCTGTCCAGAAGAGTCGATATCGGGCGGACACGGTATGGGTAGCAGCGCATTCGGAGAGGTCGCGTGGTTTGTGGGTATTTATGGAGAATAACGGCAGTTAGGTTTCCCAATGTTGACTAGATACACTCACGGCTCTTGGAGAGTTGGGCGTGATGGGTGAAGATACCCGTGAAAGGCCACCTGAAGGGTGATCTGAGAAGGAGCACATGGCAGACAGGAGGGGGGGGGATGAAAAGAACAGGAATGGGAAAATTATCACCCTTCGGAGAAGGTGGAACACCTTGCAAGAGTTGTTTACTTGTACTCAATGTTGGCTCAGGCTAAGGGTGAAGAGAATCGACTCTCGTCCGGCGCGTTTCCCCCTCGCTCGTGGAATCCGTTTGCGGAAGGGTATTCGCGCCAATAGCTCACCTTACTCAAATAGTCTCCAGAGCAGGGAGGAGACATACCGGTATTTGCATATGTATCGGAGAGTGCCCCTCTTACTCGCATTCCGCTGCCTACCCCCTTCCCCTAATCGCCGTTTCGGCCTTGCTTCCTTGCACTTTTATATCAAATTAAAGACTTAAGGATAATATGGAGAAGGAAGTAAAGGCTGGACAGTGAGTGCTGAGCCTTTTCCTGCGTAATTTGGGCTGGTTATTTGAATTGACCTCCTGAAAGGTTTCACGGAGAAACTCTAGCACCGGTTTGCTCCCGAGACGCTCCCAGCGGATCTCCAACCAAGAACGAACACACTACGGAATCGGTACAATCTGACGATGACCAGCCGACGGAGGAGGAACTGAATGCCCTTCCGAGAGTTTCTGATAATATTCCGATGGGCGCGTACCTTGTTGCCTTTATTGAATTGACAGAGAGGTTTGCTTATTATGGGCTTTCTGCATGCCTCCCTCCCCTAGTCTGACTTTGCGAGGCATGTGGGACTGACGGGTTGAAGGCGCCATTCCAAAACTACATTGAGAACGAAAAAGACGATCCATTGCTGCCTGGTGCATTAGGTTTAGGCCAGAGCTCGGCTACCGCTTTACAATACTTCTGGCAATTCTGGTGTTATGTCACGCCAGTTCTTGGTGCAATTGGTACTCCACTGCTCTTTCCTAGTTCCTCAAATCTAATGTCTACTACTGACCGGCGTTAAAGTTGCCGATCAATATATCGGCAAATACAACACAATTATGGTCTTCGCTGGGATCTATGCCCTTGGCCTTCTTGTCCTCGTTACGACCGCAATTCCTGAAGCAATTGATGGCGGGCATGCTTTCGGCGGCCTAATTGCATCAATCCTAATAATTGGGCTCGGAACCGGTGGTATAAAGGCAAATGTTGCCCCCCTAATTGCAGAGCAATACCGTAGCCGCGGCCCCTTTATCCGAACCCTAAAAAGTGGCGCCCGAGTGATTGTTGACCCGAACGTTACTATCCAACGACTGTACATGGTCTACTATTGGTGTATCAACCTGGGTTCGTTATCTGGCATCGCAACCGTATACTTGGAACTCAAAGTGGGGTTTTGGTCGGCCTATTTACTGCCGTTCTGCGTGTTCTTTGTGGGGATCTTCACTCTCGTCGTTGGGAGGAAATATTATGTCACCGCCGTGCCACAGGGGTCAGTCATTTTGTGTGCCTTCAAGGTTTGGTTGATTGCACTGAAGAATAAGGGGAATATGGAGGTTGCAAAGCCGAGTTATCAGGTTGCGAACGGGAGGAGGTATAAGACGCCGTGGCCGGAGGAATTTGTCGATGAGTTGAGGAGAAGTTTGGTTGCGTGTAGGGTGTTTGTGTTTTATCCGATATATTGGGTTTGCTATGGACAGATGGTATGTCAACCTGTTTTCGCCGGGGAACTTAGTGTGGCTAAAGATTTTCAACAGATAAGTAACTTTGTCTCCCAAGCCGGAACAATGGAAACCCACGGCATCCCTAGTGCATCTCCCCCTCTTCCCCCCACTTCCCCCCCCTTGTACTGACTACGCACCTCAGACGATGTCATCCTCAATGTCGGTGCCCTAACAATCATCATATTCATTCCAATAATGGAGCGCGTAGTCTACCCGGCACTCCGGACAATCGGCATCAAATTCAAGCCCATAACTCGCATAACCTGGGGGTTTTTCTTTGCCTCGGGAGCAATGGCCTACGCTGCGGGCTGCCAAAAGATGATCTATGGCGCTGGTCCATGCTACGACAATCCCCGTGGATGTCTCAATGGGGCAGTGCCGAACCGCGTGCATGTTGCAGTCCAAGCTCCGTCATATGCTCTTATGTATACACCCCCCGTTTGTTCTCAATTCACCTAAGGGAGAAGGAAAAGCCAACGTGTAAATTATTTAGCGGAATTTCGGAAATTTTTGCCTCGATAACGGGTCTCGAATACGCCTACACAAAAGCGCCGACAAACATGAAGTCTTTCATAATGTCATTGTTTCTCCTGACGAATGCTGTCGGCTCCGCCCTGGGCATCGCTGTCTCGCCGACAAGCGTGCATCCCAAACTCGTGTGGACGTTCTCGGGATTGAGCATTGCAACTGCCGTCGCAGGCATCGCGTTCTGGGTACTTTTCAGACGCTATAATGATACCGAGGAGGAGATGAATGCTGCTGGGCGGGAGAAACAGCAAGAGGCGCTCAGGAGTGTGGCTGGGGAAATGGAGGAGGGAGGGGCGGTGTAGATTCGAGTCTGATGTGTATTCAGGAAATATCACTTGATTTGTTTGTAAATAATTGGGTTAATTTTTCTACTATATTCCTGTGAGCCTGGTTGCTGTGGTGCTCCAGATGACTCTTGGTGCCCAGCTTGCGGACTGGCCATGAGTCCCTGATCAGTGTTGCCCTATCATAAGTCATGAATATTAGGCTACTCATGGCACCCCCGGCACCATACATAATTACAGGTGCCGAGGATCCTTACCGAGTAGGATACCGGGCATGATCCTAGAATGTTTTAAGGTTGGGTGGGATAAATATTACTCTGCGAATAGGTAGATCACCGACAACCCGCTGGGTCCACGATCAGATCGTGATTTCTTGGTTTCTTTATTGCCCTCCATAATCACTCCCCATCATTCCATCTCTAATCGCAGGGTGGTACAGATTTCTACCTTGCCAGCGCGATAAATAGTTTCCATATTATAGAATAACCGTTCCTAGATCATCCGCCACGATCCATGACTGTTTACGGGAATGTTGAAATCGATTGGTAACGCGTCATTTAATAATGGAGCGCTATTCGCGATCACAAGTTGCAGAGAATCCTTGGTAAATACGTGGGGAGCCGTAAGGATCTATGATACCCTGGGCCTGGTATACTTGCTATCCGTGAGGGGAACATAACCCTCCTGCACTAGATTTAACAACCCTTATTCTCTTTGGAGAGGGTGGTTTTTGTTATCCCCTCCCTCCCTTCGTTCGTAGGTGTTTTGTATGGCAAGGCGGTCGCAGGATTCGAGCCGTCGTACCCCGGTAAACTCGCATGAAACGAGTACAGTACTATACCAGTAGATATCTAGGCCGAGCCCCTCTCGCTACCGGTAGGTACGGGGAACCGTTGAGCGAGTAAAAAACGGACAGGGAAAATCGAGAATCTGTCGGATAGGAAGTATGATAGAAGATTGGAGTCTTATCATAGTTGGCGAGAAGGCTGTGGAGGGAATTGGCGCGGATGCGGTACGGCTGGTCGGGATCTTGAAGGAATGGGTACATTGTGGGAAGGGGGGAGGAAATAATAGGGAAAATGATAATTTGAGGCGTGGAAGGAAGGAGGGAAAGCCAGTGATCAGACAAGGGGATTCTCTCTATGATATGATGTCTTTTCGCTCGTTTGGGCTGTCACGGCGAGGGAGGACTGTGGTGCGGTAGTCCAGGATAAAGGGTTCAGAGTCTGGAAATGGGGAAATCTCCACGGGAATTGATCAGCCCCCCGCGGCAGACCCGCGTTCCGGGGGGGAGAGGCTATATCGATGATTTGGATCGTTGTCTCAAGCGATGGAGGTTCCGGGCTCTAATTTACAAATAAACACCTCAGCCGATATCCAATGTGACCAACCTCAAACTCCTAACAACCACAACCCGAGAACTTAGAAGCTCCCGTAAAAGCGCTCATTCCGTGATTGTCTAAATATTTATAATCATGTTGCGAGAAACCTTGACTTGTCGCAGTGCGGGAGCAGTTCGAGGTCCAAGGTTGTGGGGATTTTGGATGAAGCTACAAGGTTAACCTGGCCTAGGCTACCGGTACCTAGATCAGGCAATCTCTGGGCGTGATTATAAATTTACCTCATGCGGTGATTATCATTGCCTAATATTTCTTAATAAAGCGAGTCTAACCGAATTAGGGAGGATTACCGGCTTAATAGGCAGTTGGGAATTAACGGGTGTGTTGATTTGTAATGTCCTGGGCAGCGTACGGTACGCACTTTGAGGAAGATTATTCTTGTGATGATGAGGTATTGCTGTTCCTTGTGTAGAATAAACTATTGCTTGGGATGTTAATTCATGAACGAAAGGGACTTTCTCGATTGCAAGAGTTTCAGGATTTGTTGTGTTGATAATCACAGAAATTGATAGTTTGAGAGGAGTGCTGTGCCATTACTGCACGCCCCATTGCGACCAACTACCGGCGTGGGGAGAGATAAGGTTATCACTATCTCGTCTTAGGGAATCGATTTAGTCGATTAGTGAAGTTGGATACATTGGTAAATACGCTGGTGTAATAAATCTCCCCTTAGTTATTATGCGTGGTATTCATCTTGACGAGCGTCGTCGTGTTTATGTTATACAACACCCCCCCTCATCACAGTACGTGCACTTTATGTTCTGCTGTGGATGCGATAATTAGGGCTATAAGGTGAACCGGGATATTGTGAAACTATTGGAGTGGAACAATATGGTAGTTGGAAGACGGATTATTTACTTGTACACTTTTGTCTTCTTTTATACTATAGAACACACGATACTCAAGGCGCCGGTTTGCTCTGCCAGTTCCTATTACGGAATCGCTCATCCTCGGGAATTTTAGCCAATAAAACGCAGTACGGAACAATGATTGCAACCATACTAAGAAAACTCTGAACCTCAAGAACCTGGATGACATTCACCTCCATTCACTTGAAACAACGAAAGGTGATGGTGAGCTATGCCAGCAGAAGGGAATCGTCACATTTAAATGGCCATCAAGATCACCAGATCTTAGCCAAATTGAGTGACTATGGGATGATTGTAAAGATGAGATTGCCGCTTACCAATTTACTGGTACTAGTCAGGAAACGGTTGAGCAAGCAAAGGCTACATTAGTTGAGGTTTGGAGACAGTTTCCACAGGAATTGATCGATAGGCATTGTCAAAGCTTTCATGAAAAGCTTGATAGATGTATTATTCATCATGGTATTAATAAATTTAATGGATAGTATTTTGAATTTGTTTTAAGTTTGTTCCTTTCACGCACTCCTAGCAGCTAAATTAAAGGGGCCGAGGATGCTTTATGTGGGGATTGTTACTGTGGCTGCAGGAAAACTGGCGACTCAGTAGTCAATGTTACAGCTTGTTTAAGGTGTCCATACGCTTTAGCTAGTGTTGCACAGGAGGCACTTTGGTGTCTTGTATAGGCCAAAACATCCGAGGATGAGCGATTCCAGAATAGGAACTGGCAGAGCAAAACGGCGCCGTGAGTATAGTGAAGCTATAGTGGAAGGCTAACAGCGGTGCGGCAAAAGTTTTTCGCGGGCATCGCTTGGACGCACTTGTTTGGACAGAGGGAGTTGGCTCCCCCTATCTTATTACGAAAGTTCGCATCCGCTAGAAATATAGCAGGTTCCCTGCTAGTACTCGAGTTCAGTACGGTAATGGAGATCGAAGTGCTGTGCTACCGTATTGGGATCGGGGTTGCGATACCGGTAATGGTTCTGATTATATTATGCATTTAACGTGAATATGGCATTGTGCTTGTCCTGACACTGTACTGTACGTTGAGGGTGGGGTTTCGCACTTATAGGAAGGTTTAGCCGGGACGCTTTGTGAAACCCATTTTAAGGATACATTGTTGCAGAGAGCTCAACCCCGCTTTCGTTAGAAGTTGACTGCACTTATCCCCTCTGCTGCGGCTCCGCTCTGTTCAGCAATCACATTCTTGGAGAAGGAAGATTCATCTCCGAGACCACTAGCATCAGTTCGAAAGACATGAACTGCCACAACCGAAACCTATTGAGCGGTAACAGCGGTAGTTTTAATGTTATAGACTCGAATAACACCTACAATCACACAACTGTCAGCGACGAAGCACTGAGGATACTATCATGGATATCACCGTTGGAGTCATGGAAGAGACACAGTGATGTGGTTGGTACTCGCGTTAGGGGTATAGGGGAATGGGTGCTACAAAGTGGCGAGTTTCAAGCATGGCGGCGGAATGGTAACGACCGGACGGCTGGTAGGATTTTGTTTTGCCGTGGGGCGCCTGGGGTAGGAAAGACTTTTATTTGGTAGGATCTGTGGCTTTGCATACACTCAAATCACTACTGACTTAGTAATAGCTCCTTAGTGATAGATAGGCTATGTATGCGATGAGGCCCCGGGGGCGAATTTTGCAGTCGGTTGCCTGTACTGCGATTACCGGGGTCAAAGGGAGCAAACGGCGAAAGTGATGATTGGGAGTCTTTTGAGGCAGTTTGTGACGGCGTTACAGGAGATTCCGGAAGTGATCAAAGAGGCCTTCCGATCAGCGAAGACCCATATTGGAGGACGTGCACTAGAGCTTGGAAAGACTGTTGAACTATTCCAGGTCGTCCTCGGAAACTTCCAGAAGGTATTCATTTGTGTGGATGCGTTGGATGAGATTGTAGCGGAATACAGTGCTACCTTTCTACGGTCCCTGCGCCAGATATTAGATCGATCACCAAATGCTAGACTATTTGTCACTGCAAGGGCCCATATCCAATCAGACCTGGAAGGTCTAATCCCACTGGACACGAGCATCATCGCTATGCGACCCCTCTTTAGTGACATCGTAAATTACTTGGTAGCAAAGTTGGACACCGATCCATACCCAAGAGCGATGGATGATGGCCTCAAGTGCGAAATTCTGACAAAGATTCCGCGGGAATCTTCCGAAGTGTACGTATGGCGCAATAACATCGAGAACTTATAGCTGACGATGGGCCGAAGCTTCCTTCTAGTCAGATTGCGGATCGATTCGATACTCGGCGAGATCACAATAGGTGGGAGAAAGAAGAAGCTGCGTGAGGCTGCCAAAGACTTGAGCGATGCTTACACAGAGACTCTAGAGAGAATAAGAGGGCAGAGTAGAGCCCTCGCGGGAATTGGAATTTCGGCGTTGATGTGGATTTCCCTGGCCGAACGACCCTTGCTCATCGATGAACTATGCCATGCTCTGGCCATGGAAGTTGGATCACCTAATATCGATACTGAAATGGTTCCTTCGATTGAGACTGTTGTGGCATCTTGTATGGGCCTAGTCACCACTGACCATGCATCATCAACGGTCCGGCTAGTGCATGCTACTTTAGAAGAATATCTGCACCGTCATCAACAGAATATATTTCAGAATCCACATGCCACTATCGCCGAGATTTGCTTGAGCTATCTGGGCGTTCAATCCGTTAGGGAGCTCCCCTCAGACCTTTCAACTGCCCCTGCTGCATTCCCGCTTCTTGGATATGCGTCCTGTTACTGGGGGGCCCATGCGCGGAAAGAGCTTACGGACTCTGTGAGCCTATTTGCACTTGGAATTCTGGACCAATACCCTCAACATGCAGCTTCGAATATCTTCTTGTGCAACGGAGGAGCCCCGTGGTCCTGGCGGTAGTTTCTTTCGGAGGGGTTTAGTGGATTACACTACGTTTCATACTTTGGAAT